TTCGATTTCAGAAGTACAAAACCGTCAAAACCTACGGCTCAGATACCACTATTTTGAAGGTAATGCAATGCCACAATCTGTTTCAGATCGATCAATCATAATAATAATAATTGTGGTTTCCTTCCTTCCTTCCTTCCTTCCTTCCTTCCTTCCTTCCTTCCTTCCTTTCCTTCCTTCTTTATTTTCTTCCACTATTTCCTTCTTTTCTTTCTTTTTTTCCGCCATGTCTCTACTTATCTCAGTTTTATATTTTATTGTCATCTATGCCGCAGTTAAGCCAACCATACCCAAAGCTGACTTGATCTTCGCTCTGAGTTCTACGGGAGCTTCAGCAGACAAGACGTTCCTTCTAATGAAGGATTCTGTTAGTGAAATCATTGATAAATACGGTATCGGAAACGCTCATTATGGCCTTGTGGTATACGGTGATACCGCGTCAACCAAAGTTAGCTTTAGCAGTGGTTATACAGACAGTGATAAATTAATACAGTACATGGATTCTGTACCTCGAAGTACTAGAGGACCCGCCCTGGATAAAGCAATCGATGAGGTGAAAGCAATGTTCCAAAGCCCGGCTGCCCGATCAGATGCTAAGAAAGTCTTGGTTGTAATTACGGACAAGAAATCAGTCAGCAATCCATCGGTCATAACGTAAGATATCTTTTTTATTTTGCCGTTTGAGTGTCGTACAGCTATAGCTATGTTTTATGGTAGCCATGTTATGRRACAGAAACACTCCAATGTTTTTGCRCGACAAGATATTTCATTCATMAAAGAAACGATTTTTGTTGTWTTGCCCCACAATATGGCTGTGGCGAAGTCTCCATTACAGTGCAGATAATGCATTGATCGTCAAGTCTTTGCTATTTCGTTCTGTTTGAGATGATACATGTATGTCAAACGCGATTTATAGACCTCAGGCTGTGTTTACTCGACGTACCAAACGAATTTGTGAGCGGTCAAAAAATTGAYCTGTACATACCCTTTACACGAAACCGTCTGTTCTATTGTTTAAAAAATACGTTGTGTTTACACGGAGCTGGTCCCAAATTTGCACRGCTAGGCGTRCAATTTTTTGTTCGAATAGYTCAGTCTYGTGTGAACGGAAYCCCTTTAACGTACAGCTTTTTGAACGGCTAGCAAATGAATAATAATTATATTACTTCAAGAAGGCGTATAAATTTGAATGATTGGTAAACTTATAGGTCCAAAGCCAAGGAACTAATCAGTGATGGAGTAGTCGTTATTCCAGTCATCATTGGTGATCAAGTGACTACAGAAGATCTCAAACCAATAACAGACGATGAAACTAGAATACAGAAAGGTAAAACCACCGACACTCCTGAGGATATAGCTGACAAAATCGACAGCGCTCTGAAGAAGGCCCTAACTGGTGAGTAAGAAATATGTATGTGTATATATGTATGGATAGAGATGGTTGATTGATCTGTTGGTAGGTGTGGGTAGGTTAGGTGTGTAATTTTTAGAATGTGTGCGCTGATAGATGAAAGTTTCGATGTGTTGGCTAGCAGATGGTTGAAAAATTGACGGATAAATATGGGTTTGTGTAGATGGGTCGATGTGTAAATCTGTTGACGGAAGAATAGTTCAATGTAATTTCTTCTCGATGGATGGATTTATGTGTGTATGAGTTGATGGGTGTATGGATCGATGTGTGGGTAAGTTGATGGATGGATGGTTCAATGTGTTTGGTTCTCGATGGGTGGATTCATGTGTGTGTGATTTGATGGGTGTATGGATCGATATGGGGGTAAGTTGATGGATGGATGGCTCGATGTGTTGGYTTCTYGATGGGTCGATTCATGTTTGGGTGTGGTGAAGGATAGATGGGTCGACGTATGGGTATTGAAATGGTTGTTATTGGACAAAAAGGTCCGTTCGTTTCTCCAATCTTTGTTTATGATTGGAAYGGATTAACTTTTAGAAATACMAGGAGTTGTAGAGACYGATCTGGCCTTCGCCATAACAGCAAACGCACMAGACTCGAGCAGGACTTTCACTCAAATGAAAAACATTCTGCAGTCAATAATCCAAAAATACGGACGCGGAAAGATTCGCTACGCTGTCATCACATTTGGTAACACACCAGAGGTCAAAGTAGATTTCAATTCCAAMTTTGCTAGCGACCAAGCACTTGTTAATCTGATAAATGCTTTGCCTAAAACGAGCGGGGCTTCGTTGGACAAAGCTATGGAAGAAGCAAGGAAGCTGTTTAAGGTAAAGAAACTCTAATGTAAACCTTCGTTTTGGACATCCCCCGCATCACAGGAATGTTGTCTGTCCCCAATGAATATTGCCACTTACTCCCACTCCGAGGGTTCCATATTMCTAGAAATCTCACTTGCCCAAGGAGCTGAGTTTTTTCGGTGGGGGGCGAGTTACATGGATCGAATCTCGGGTATTATTTCATAGTATCAAATTTCTGGTCAAAGAGATTCCCATGTTCCAAAGCACTCACGAGAAATTGATATTTTATGGTATAATGTTCACTATAGTTAGCAACCGGTAGTGTGCACTGCTAATGCGTTGGTGCCTATCTTCCGTACTTCAATTTTTTTTTATCTTGGATCTCCGGCTTTTCCATCTGTAAAATTGATTTCAGTTTTGTCCATAAATTTGGCGTTGAATACTTAAGTCAGGAGCATTTGGCGCGGGAGATTGGGTAATTGTCTCCTGCGACCATCCTTAAAATAAAATACATTTTTTCAGTTTACATTCTAGTATTTTTGTCGTAAATTATAAGTTATGTAATAATTTTCTTATATTGAATTAGKTTTCTGAACAGGAAAGACCGTCTGCTCAGCGAGTTCTAGTTGTCATCACTGACAGCAAGTCAAACAGTCCYACAGACAACCTGAAAGCGGCTCGCAAGCTCTCCGTCGATAACGGTATCAAGGTTATTGCATTTGGTATCGGAGGAGATRCTGATGATGTAGAGTTAATGACTGTTGCATCTGAGAAGGATGATGTGGTCAATGCCAATACTACAGACAAACCCAGTGAWAGTAATAAGATCATCATGGACAAAGTCTTGGGTAAGATATTTAGATTCCTATTACYATCTCCAAAACTCAATCGCGGTTGCTTGAAACACAGTGGGAGTGGGAGTCTTGCTGATACTTGTACTGATACATATCTCGCGCATGCGTAGTTTTTCAGCCTTTTTTCCCTCGCTTAAATTCAATCAATATAATTTTTTTCTGTAATCATATGAAGCATCTGATTTTATTTTATTTATCGTATTCACAGAAAAGAAAGTCCCTCCATCAACGGATGTCCTCTTTGCAATTAGTACTACTGCTTCAGGTGCTGAACAGACTTTCGCGCGTATGAAGAACGCCGTTAACTACGYAATAGATGACCAAGGACTGGACCAACTTCGGTACTCACTGATGGTCTTTGGAAGCCAGCCTTCAACAGTCATTGACTTCAACCGAAGAGTAAATGATATTAACGCCTTGAAAAGATTTGTTGAACTTGCAAGTACCCCACGTGGGAGCCCTGATTTAAAAAAGGCACTTGATGAATCAAAGAAAATCTTTGAAAACTCAGACAGACCCGAAGCTAGGAAGATCCTCGTCGTYATGGTCGACAAGAGGTCTACGAATAGTCCAGAAGATATCAAGAATACCGCTATGCCATTGGATAAAAAGGGAATAAGAGTGGTACCAGTTGTTGTGGGACCAGATGCTGATGCTGATGAGCTGGAAAAGATAACTCCAGATAAACTTGGTCTAGTCAAGGTCAACAAAGATGTAGAGCCCGAAGTACTGGGGAAAATACTTCTAGAACGGATATTGAGAGGTAAGGTTAATATAGTAGGGCTCTCGACGGGCCTTTAAGAGTCGGGGGGAAGTCACGAACCTCTTGGGGTCTTATGTCCGATTCCTGGGCTCCATTTTACTGAGTAGAGTTTGTTTGGTTTGACTCCCTTTATTTAATGTTTTCCCCGGTCGGGTTATCTGGTTTTTCCTCCTTCCACAAAAACCAACACACTCACTTTCAAAAAAGTAATCGACCTGATTCGTGCAGGATCATCACAACTTCATGTTATCTGGGTTTTTGGCTTGCATGTTTAAATCGAAAAATCGACATCGTAAATGGGTGACAAACCAAGTCGGATAAAACGTGTGCGTCTGCAATTTTCTGGGTTGCAGGATCATCGAAAATACTCTAAGATTATTAAATACTCATAGTTTGCAATGGTATTTCAGAACCCCGAGTAATACCTGCAGTKGACATGATTTTCGCCGTCAGTTCAAGGGCTGCCAGAGCAGATTCAAACTTTGATAAGATCAAAGAATCCTTAAAATCCATCATTGATCGCTACGGAACGTTCAAGATTCGCTACGGCGTCATCGTATTTGGTAACACACCTTCGGTCCGTATATCACTCAGCGATACTTTCAGGCAAGATGATTTGATGAAGAGAGCCATCGACACCATTCTCAGATCCTCGGGTGCTGATCTCGGCAGAGCGTTGGAGAAAGCAAAGGAGATGTTTGACACTTCGGAACAATCTCGACCCGGAGTGAAGAAGGTTCTCGGTAAGTTTGCTTGCAGCTTAATCTATTGTATTCAAGATTTGCAATGACTGTAACGCAGTCTTCAAAGAAGATTTGCAATGACTGCGATTATTTGCTTGATCCAAAGAAATARTAAGTAAATAAAATGTCTGGAAAGCTAAAAAGGTTAAAAGTAAACATGACTCAAAATAACAGTTGGTCAATGGAAATKTCCAGCCAAAATTGTTACTTGTGCAGCTTAAATTCTATTTTGCAATCATGTTCGGTTACTGAACAGCAGATATCTTTAGCCTCGGTAAACCTTTCTTATGTTAACTTTGTTTCAGTTGTCGTGATGGATAAAAAGTCTCTTGGTGATGCTGATGACATCCTAAGAGGTGCCAAACAGCTTCAGGATACAGCAGTAACTATCATTCCAGTTGCCTTTGGAAGCGAGGCAGATCCTCAAGAACTGCTTTCTCTCACTTCTAGTAAACGTAGCCTGGTGACGGCCACTGAGGACGAAGGTCCTGACATCTTGGGTGAAAAGATTATGATCAATATCGGTGAAGGTAAAGAGTTTTTTAAGTGTCACATCTTGGGTTTCATTTGTATTTTTAGACATTTATTTGTAGACAAAGTAAAGACCCATCTTCAATGCTCGTGCTAACACTACAGATCCCAGTAGTAATTGGCTTTACTGTTGTGGTGTCCCTGTCCTCACGGGAAAACATTCATAACTCAAATGACATCACTCCAGGACCACAGGCTGCGTAGACTACCTTTTACCTTTAAGTCTTTCCTCTGATATTTTCCATCATTTTTTTGTTTGTTTGTTTTAGTTTTTATTTATTTATTTATTTTTTTGTTGTCATTTCTTTTTTTTTGGTGCATACTTGGTGATCCCTTGCTCTTTGGTTCTTTTGTTAACAAAATCTTTTCAGAAACCCTTTTTATTGTATACTAACTATTTTCATGACTTTATTGGTTATTCACTATGACCTTGTTGTCTAACCAAATAATAATAACCTCAATTTCATAGTTGTTTTTGCCATAATTTACATTTATTTTCCTGTATTTTTATAGCGTTACCTAGAGGAGACATGGACGTGGGTTTCATCATAAGTACTTCGACAAGTTCTGTAGTAAATCTCAATAAGATCAAAGACACTATCAATGAAATTGTCAACATGTATGGAACAGACCAAACCCGATACACGGCCATAAAACTTGTTGATTCCACGTCGGTTAGAAATAGAGATGTGGACACCGAGGCCAATAAAATGAAGCAAGATCTTCCTGATGGAGTAAATGTTACAGTTCTGAGATCAGATGGCATGGAGCTTATTGATGCTATAGATGAAGCCAGGAAGATGTTTGTCAAGGTACAGATGAGGGCTTCAAGAAACGAGTTTCAAGTCCAACAGCGCGAGCCTAAACATTTTGCTATGCAGATAYATTACCAAGATCATCACTAACGAGGAACACCTCACCCCTCCCCCAAAAAAAGACCAAGGCTGATACTATTTTGTTTTGTTTTTGAAATCAGCAGCATATCACCAAMACTAACAACATCACTAACTATCRAAAAAAAAAAAAAAAAAAAAAAAAAAAAACATCACAGGCAATATTATCACTACCACTACCATCACCATCTCCACCTCTTCCATCACCACCACCACCACCAACGCCGCCGCCACTACCACCAGCACCGCCGCCACCACCACTACCACCACCACTACCACTACCACCACCACCACCAACACCAACAACAACATCAACCACAGCAACTTTAATGACAGCATTGTCGAACAATTCAAAATAGCTAACATACATTGACGATTTTTAATTTGTGTATGAAATCATTTACTTTTTCTTTAGGCCGTGTCCATGAGGCCCAAATCTAAGAAGCTACTGGTGATCGTCTTTGACATGAACCCCAAGAATGAACCAGATGACGTCCTGATTGCCAYGGAGCCTCTAAAGGATGGTGGGATTAAGATCATTACAGTTGGCCTTGGGGCTGACGTGGACCCCAAAGAGCTAGAAATAATAACTCCTAATAAGGACAATGCTCTTGCTCCTGATGATAAAGACACCCCTAGGGATATAGCAAGGGATGTCATGAAGAGAGCTTTTAACGGTAAAGTGCTTTGAGGTGTTCTCCCCTCACCAATATGCATGAGTCCATTTGGTCTGGTCACTGATTCGATTCCAGCGGAAGTCTCATTTCAAGCCAGTTTATTTTGTTCTCTCTCTTTGCACTAGAGATTTCCTCCGAGTTCTCCGGTTTTAAATCCTCTTTGAAAATCAATATCTACATCATATAGAGTGGTTTGCATAGAATATTGAATGTACTGGTAACGTGTGAGTGAAAGTGCGACTAGGAGGGGGAGAGGGGGGGGGGGGTAAGATTTTGTTAGGGTTACGTGGAGGACATAAGGAGTTTAGTTAATGTATAGGAAAAATAGTTTCCGAAACTTTAAAGTATACTTAATACCATTCTTTCTAATAAAAGAACTGTTGTGTTTTCTTACAGACACAATACCGATTCCCAAGATTGACCTGGTCTTTGCCATCAGCTCTGTCGCCAGTAATGCAGAAGAAACCTTTACCAAGATAAAAGATACTATCAGGAATATCATACTAGAATATGGAATAGATTCACTCAAATACGGTGTCATAGTCTTTGGAGATACGCCTACTACTCGTTTAAGACTAGATGAACGCTTTAATGATATTGGTAGTTTGAATAGATCCATAAGTGTGTACAGGAGACCCAGTGGTGTACCTAACATTAGGAGTRCCTTGGAAGAAGCGAAGAGGTTATTTGATGGACGGGGTGCAAGATCGGATGCTAAGAAGATTCTTGTGGTTATCATGGATAAGAGATCCAGGTAAGACTTATATATATAGGACAACAATAAAGTATATTTGTTTTGAGATCAATGATGCACTTCCCTGCTAGCAGAGCCTATTTTCCTTTTGTTTTGGTGGAGTGAGAAAAATAGACTCTGCCGATGTAGGACGTTATACTTGTCGCGCCTGCGTGGCGTAACTTAGCAGCGCTGTCATGATTTTGACAGCCGCTCTCGTCAAACATTTGGCGCCACGGTGTGTTACATTTTCTCATGCGCACTACATGTACCCAGTTAAAAACCGGTTTTTAAAACTGGTTTCGTTCGGTGTATCAAAGGAAACGCTCTACATCGGCAGAGTCTCCCTCCTCCCCGCTTAAAAGAAGGGAGAGAAAGAGGAGATTCTGCTAGCAAGGAAATGATGCACAATCTTGGTACAGACATGACTGGGTACATGACACGGCACTATCAAAGTATCATGGTACGTACCTCAATAGACACGGCTACGGTACAGGATTGTCGCGTCAAAGAATTGAGGACATGAAGCGGTACGATCAACCATCACAATCACATGGTCACGAGGAATTAACCACAATTTGCGATCTTTGTATGCTACAGTTACGGTACCTCGATGAGGGAAAGTTTACTATTCGCTCTGGGTGTTGTATTTGAATTACGTCAACATGCAAACATCCTTTTCACTCCTATTTTTCTTCATGTTTATCTTTGTTCGGCGTACTTATTTTCTAAATTCTTATCGAGTCTTATGAATTGTTGTTGTTTCTTACTTTCTTAGTAACACRCTAGATGAAGTTAAGAAAGCCGCACAGCCACTTGACCGAAATGGTATACGAACTATAAGTATAGCAGTTGGTCCAGAGGTAGATCAAGGAGAAATAGAGAAGATGACACCAACAAAGAAGGACATCATCAAAGTTAACCCTGGTGGCATGACACCACGTGATCTAGCTAAGGCTATAATGGACAAGGTGTTTACAAGTAAGTGAAGAACTGCGTGACTTGCAACCTGCGCAACTCAATGCATAGTTTTTAACAGTTGYGGCTGTCGTGGTTCTAGTGTAACGMCCTGTAAAAGGCATGGAACAAAACGAAAAAGTCAAAGGARTTTATTTTGATTGACGGCAACGTATTTTCCAATTTTCRGCAGGTCGCGACTGTTGTCTCTATCTGCGCGTAGCAATAAAAACAATGGCAATAGTATTATTCGTTCATTTTTCAGCTTACCCAAGAATTCCTGAGCTTGATCTGGCACTTGTGATTAGCGCAACTGCAACTCGCAGTGCAGAGAACTTCGAAAAGATGAAGCAGATTGTTAACTCTGTTGTCGAGCGTTATGGGACGTTTAATATCAGCTACAGCGTTCTTGTGTTTGGACGAACTCCCACGGTCCACCTGAGGTTTGGTAGATCGTTCCCTGATGACAAATCACTCCAGTTCATCATTAATAACGTCCCAAGGAGTTCTGGGGCTTCTCTTGATAACGCTCTTGRTGAAGCAAAGAACGTTTTGGAAGCATCACCTCGAAAACAAGCCAAAAAGGTTTAGTAGTAGCAACCGAACGTCTTATGTTAGAAAACTTATGACTGTTTCCCTTGATCATTCCCTTGTCTGTCCATCCCTCCCTCTCTTCACTCACCCACTCACCCTCGTCTTTCTAATCATTAGTTATTCATTAGTTTCATTTCAGTACTCTTTCTCCCTCTCTTCCCTGATCATTAAACCTTCATTTTTTTATACATTCGTTTGTTCATTCATTCATTCCCTATTCCAACTCTCAGACTCAGGTCAAACGTCCAACTTCACATGAGCCGTACCTAATTGAAATGATGGATAACAAGGCGGTGTTCTTTGATGTCATTAGGTTCGGCTTATGTGAAGTTCTACGTTTAGCATGAGGCTCACACTCCCTAACATTCATTATTTCGCGGACCTGTAGTTTTACTTATTATTATTTGATTGCCCTATTTTTTTATCTGTGTCATTTTACCGGTTCATAAATAGCTTTTAAAAATTACTTAATTTATTTTTTGTTTTATTTATTCAGGTTGCTGTGGTAATCATGGACAAAGACTCAACAAGTAACCTGGAAAATATCAAGAAAAAGGCCTTAGATTTGGAGATAGCTTCMATCAAAGTCATCCCTGTTGCTTTGGGTAACGAAGCAAATGAAAAGGAGTTGTCAAAAATAACAMCGCAGAAACAGRACCTAATAAAACCTGACGAGAACGMACCGACCAATAGGACAGCAGAACAGCTTGTCAGAAAGGCAATCAAGGGTAAGGGATCTCTTAATTTTGAAGAAGGGGATATTTTTTGGGTATATTTATAGGTTTACATCTTCAATTTTTTTCTGAAACAACCTTAGGGTACGACTAAGTCACAGATCGAATAAGGATATAGATATCACATAAATATGCCGTTACGTATGCCTTATGTTTTTCCTCCGACTTATTTGTGTTCCCGTGCTTGGTTGTTTATGGGTTTTCCCGTACACTTTAGCGAGAATTGCTAAAACACAGGGTAGATAAACCTAGATAAACTTTTGAATTCTAATTCGGGAACCATATTCTCTAATGCAATACCAACTAGGCTTTGTCCACTAGCAGGGGTAAATTAATTTAAATTCCGAAAATGATATTGGTATTATTATTATTTATTTATTTATTTATTTATTTATTTATTTATTTATTATTTCAAACCAGAGTTACCACCCCTCCTAGAAACAGAACTAATATTTGCAGTCAGTGCAAGAGCAACAGACCCAACCAAAAACTTCAAGAAGATGCAAGACATAATGAAACGTGTTGTTCGTCAATACGGAATGGACAGGATACACTACAGTATCATCACCTTCGGCAGTACTCCCACTACCATCCTGAAATTCAACAACAATATGAAAGATGATAGCGAGTTAGAAAGGTTTATCGACACTCTACAGATAAACGGACGTGGAGCTGATCTTGACAAGGTTCTTGAGAAGGCTAAGGAACTTTTTGACGAGGCGGAGACGTTGAGATCTGGAACAAAGAAGGTCTTGGTMGTTATCACTGATAAACGCTCAGGTATTTTATTCGAGATTACTACAATCATGATTGAAGACATTTAGACATTTTTTTCATGTCGCACTTTTTTGTCTAAAAACGAGGGGACTTTTGGAAACTATTCCAGGAGCTACAATATTTTTTGTAAGCTTCTTTATCGTCGTTTCGTCTTTGTGRTCATTGTCGTCATGCGCAGGCTAACACCTTAAATCGAGACCAAAAAATATATCTGCTCCTACATATTCACTGCTAAATTTTACATTTTGGCATTTGACTCGAAAATTTGATTCGGACTTGGATCTGACTCGGACTCGGACTTTACTCCGAAACCGGGTTCACTCCTTGCTCACTCCGGGTACACTTCTTGTTTACGAACTTTCTGCAATAGTGCTAGTACGTTAAATATACCTCGCATACCTCTGGGAGTCAAGGATAGTGTAACCATACAACACACCACACCCTAACTTAGATCAGCCAAGGTTATTCCAGGGTTCGATAGAATTGATGTTTAAACGCTAGGGTACCTTATCTACTTAATCAAGATTTCAAGACTTCTTTACCTTTCATATACTTTAGGATCCTTTACACATTTTTTTTACTTCATTTCCCTAGATTCTAGCTTGTCAGACATCAGATCAGCAGTCAGGCCTCTGAAAGAAGATCGTGTCCATATTATTCCTGTGGCACTCGGTAGTGAAAGCGACAAACAAGAAGCAGATACCATTGCACCAGATGATGTCATCACCACTAAAGACAGGGATAGTCCTCGCAGGATTACTAATGCTATCATGAAAAAAGCTTTATCTGGTAAAAGGAGTTAAATAATCCCAGTATAATAACATGAAAATCGTTATAAACCCCATAGCTTTTTTCTTAGAGCTTCCATTTTGTTTGGTTGATAGGTTTAAAAGTATATTTTTGTCTCTATTTTATAGCGGGATAAGAAAGGGGSTTGGAAAGACAAAAGTGGGTTAGGAATTACCGAACTTTGGAAAGAAAAGAGTCACAATAAAATCGATGACAAAAGGAGGGAAGGATACAAATAATTTTATCTGCAAAATCCAAATTTCRCCTGCACCATTTACTTATAGAAGTAAAAGACTCCAAAGTCACTYTTTCACCTCGCCCTAATTGTTTTGAACGGTTGACTGCAAATGACCTGAAAAACTACGTCAATTATTCTGTCAGTAAAATAAGTTATATTTAATGCAATGTTTTTTTTATAGAAATTCCAGTGGTTCCAGAAATCGACCTTGCCTTTGCCATCAGTACATCTGCTGCCAACGCAGACAAAACCTTCACAACGATGAAAAACACAGTCAACAGCATCATTACYAAGTATGGAACAGACCGTCTCCGATATGCCGTACTTCCATTTGGYACCTTTCCGTCAAACGCGCTGACCTTCCAAGAGAAATTTGCTACCCTTGAAAAGCTAAAGAACTACATTGGTTTGATTCGTCAGCCAAGGGGAGATCCAAACTTGAAGCGCGCGTTTGATGAGGCTAAGAGAGTATTTGATAGAGCTCCTTCGCGACCTAATGCTAAGAGGATTCTTGTTGTTATTGTTGATAAATTGCCTGTTGATTCACCCGAAGAGGGCATGAASGCAGTGAAGAACTTGAACAAGAACAACATCAAAGTGGTGCCTGTTGCTATTGGTAACGAGGTGGACCCGGACGAGTTGGTGAAAAGAACGAATAACAAGCAGTACCTTGTGAAGGGCAAAACAGACGAGAATCCTGAACCATTAGGAGACAAGATTATGGATAAAGTATTGAGGGGTAAGAGAAAATAAAATCCTCCTGCTTTATATCGTCCTTGTTTTACGAGGGTAGCACTTAATAGCCACCTGAAGATTTGGAAATTCCAAGAGGGCGACTTCAACTGGAAGTGTAAATAACTCCTCTTTGGGATTTCGTGCCTTCAAAGTCTGTCTTCTCTGTGCATGAGCTCACTTTACTGACAATGTTTTAAATAAAAATCTCCAGTGAACAGAAAGAACCCCAAAGAGAAATTGTTTACACTTCCGGTTGTTGTCGCCGTCGTAGATTTTTTCAAATCTTAATGTGCCTAAACACCATTAGCTAACAACATGTGGCCTTTCTTTCTATGATCCAATCGAAATTTAGCCGACTTGGTTTTTGTTAGTATTTTGGGCACAGGGAGCCCAATTTAGATTCAAGTGAATGGTGAAAATAAAATCGGGAAAATGGTTTGCACCCAGTGGTTAACAAACTTTTGGCTCTGTGTTCCATGATCGATTTGGAATTTGAACCTAATTTTTGTAAGTGGTTAGTTTAGGCTGTATTCCTAAGACATTAGCATAGAAAATACGGGGGGTTGGGAGAGCAAAAGCATACGCACGTCATCACGTACATACATATACACAGACAGAAAGACGGACAGAGCTTGGCATTCACTAATGTTTTATGGTATAGTTAAGATAATTCGAATTGCCATTAAAGCGAATAAGCTATTTTTAAAGTTTTTTTTTACAGTACGAATAGAAAAACCGTGGGCACCTAGAAATATTCTAGGCATGTTCTATACTAGTGTTCTTTAGCCAATTAGAATTGACTTTCTAACCACAAGATAACGGAAAGATAACAATAACGCTTCTGATTGGCTATTGTACATTCTAGAAATATTTCTAGGTGCCCATGGTTTTTCGATTCGCACTGTAATGGCAGTGCGTGTAGAAGAATGTAAATCTGAAGCTTCCAACCAACTCTAGGCAAGGTATGCATTTGAGTCATACGACATTTACATCTATTTTTATGTTTTTCAGAGCTTCCCAATATTCCAGAACTCGACATAGCCTTTGCCCTCAGTGCAACAGCAGTCGATGGAGACTCCAG